GGTATCAAGAGACCTCTCTTTCACTTAAGTCCTCAGAGTAAGGCTCCAGTGGGATTTGAAAAATGTGTGGGCTCTTTTCCAGCCCTGAGAGGTGAATTATACCTAGTGAAACTACAGATCTGCCTGTGCAGACAGGTGCAGGCAGTTTCCTCAATTCCTCTGTGTCTCTGGTCCCAGGCAGCCGCAATCCAACTCCAACGCAAAGGCTGCACAGGCATGTTTAGCTGAGAGATAGGGTGAATCGGCTTGAACACACTAGCCTTCAAACATGCTAGCTAAGAATCTACCAACTAGCTCATGAAGTGGGATTTTAGTTAAACTTGTTTTGTGCACAGAGTGCTACTTGGAAAACAAATTGAAGAATGTAATATTTTTCTAAAACTCTTTCAAAAACATTTCTAAAAATCATGATAAACAATAAAAATATCTTCTAAAATGTATCAAAACTGTTCACAATGTTACAATTTTGGAAAAAAAAAAAATTGACTGAGGTTGTTTTTAAAGGTATGCAGTTGCATCCAGGATTCACTGTAAAAGAAATGAGGTCAAGAGGCCGATTTCTTTTAAATTCTGATATCCTTCCTCATTTATATGTGCCATAAAATGAAGTGGAAGAGGTAGATGAAGCAGTGAGCATGTAACAGCTTTACTGACAGCTTTTGTAGTACCAAAACAAACCATGCTGCACTTTTATTTATATACTGGGAATTCACCAGTTCAAATACTGACCCATGACCCTAGTTCTGCAAAGTACCCAAACATGTATTTAAGCATTTTCTGAATGTGTAGAATAAAGCTTAAATTAAAGCATATGCTTAAGCACTTTGCTAAGTTGGAGCTTTACTGTTCCCATAAATTGCAGTTGCAAGGCAAGTAATTGTTCTACGAATTACTCTGAAATTATTCTAAAAGCCTATCACAGAACTCTGAGTAATTCATAATACTGGAAAGTCAACAGGAAGACCAGTGTCTGTCAACTGGTGTTTGGAGCAAGATATTGATTCCCAAGTGGAGCAGGGTTAAAATGTTATAGCAACATGATCTGGAATGATTTTTCAAAAACTTACAAATGAGGGAAATGCACAGGGTATGCACCCAGGGAGCACCAAGCCGTGATTCTGAGAAGGTTGGAGTTAAGGGTAGAACTCTGAGGAAATCACAAAGAAAAAAAATCATGTCTTTCAGTCCGTGAGGGTCTGCCTATGAATTTATAGCCAAGGGCATGAACCTCTAGTTTACTTGTGCTTCTGATCTGTCAGAAAGAAACCTTCCCTTATTCTTTTCCACATCACAGATACCACTCCTCCTCATAAGCCAGTACTCTGCTATTTCGATCAGATCTATTGCAAATAAAATAATAGTAAAAAAAAAAGGAAAATCAGTCTTTATTCATCAGAAGGAGACAGGAATAAGGTCAAAACAACTTCAGCCCCCTTTGCTTTCTAATTTGACTTTGAGAGAGAGATAAGCTAAGAGAAAAGAACAGAGGAAGATTTCTGATCTAAACCTCACAGGCTCAGGCAACTAATCAAGGGGAATTTGGAAAAGCTGTGACACATCTGAAGAAACTGAAAATATTTACTAATATTTACTAACCCAAAGCCTATCGTCCACTAGTGCTCTCAGCTAAGACTCAACGACTCCCTTCTCACGTTCCAGTGTGATAACAACTCACTACAGAATAAACCACAGGAAAGGTAAAGGTCATTACTTGGTTGTTTGCATTAGACCTAGCTTCTTCTTGATTTTAACATATGAACCCTGAAACAAATACCCATTTCCTTTGTACCATGGGAAGAGGAGGTCTTTTAAAGCAAAACAAGTAATTGAAAAAAGATATTTTCTGGTTTTAATAAGAACTAAGCCAACATGATATAAAAAAAACCTCTGTTTTGCAACACCTGTCACAACTTCAAAGAACGTTAAAAGTGCCCATTGCAAAAATAACAGGTGTCAGCCTGGAGATGTGAGGTCCAATACATGGCAGAAGCACAGTAATTCAGGCAATTGCTATTAAAAGAACACATAACCCAACCCCCCCCTCAAAAGGCAAAATGGAAAAAAAATCTTTATGAGCCATTAGAGGATATTTTAGCAAGTCTAAGTTTTCATACTATCTCATGAGAAATATATCACCAAAGTATGCAAAAAGATTCAAAAATAGATTGGAACAAACCTGAGGTTGAGAATTCAAGCATTCAGTGCCAGGAAAGAGAGAAACAAAGGTTAATGTTTAACTTTGTATTTTAAAATATGACCTTGCAAATGCTGTAAATAGATAAAAACAATGCAAAATAGATCATCAGATGTAAACTGATAAAGCTTGCATGATCTGGGAGATACTTCAGTTTCCTGGTCATAAATGTATCCAAAAACCTCTAAACTGATAAATCTTTTACATGGTCCTGAAAACTAGCAAGAATTTTCCAGTTAGTCCAAATTAGAACATGTTGAGTGGCAGAAGCATTGGAGGTATTACAAATATGTTCCTAAACACAAATTACAACTGCAATTTTCATAGGAGGCCTTACAATACGCTATGGATAAAGGGACCGTAGCTGAAATCCCAGGAAGGCTCATGAAATGTTTATGATTTCATATTTTTGAGTCTACTGCCACTAAATCTCTGCTAAAAGCAGGAATTAAATTTTGGGGGGTTAACAATATATAATTTCCTTTTCTTTCTAACTACCCAAGAGGGACAAAGAGTAACATCCGATTAGTAACCAGGCTTCCTCTGTGATGCTAACTGTGAAATATGTAGCTGGCCCAGAGTATTAACAGGGAGTTATGTGCTTGAAGCATAGAAACAGACTGGGTTGTTTAAAACATAGCAACAGACTAGGATACAGGGTCCTCCCTCACTGCTACCTAATTTGGCTTATTCAGGGTTATTCATGATCTGGGTCCCCTGAGAAACTGTCATGGTGAATCATCTAAAGCCCATATCTGGTGTGTTTATTATCATGCTATTGTATATAAGAACAGAACATCAGTGACAGGCCGATGTGCAACTGATGCAAGGTTTCTGGAGTAGTTAAAGAACTTGGACATTTACTCTCATTTTTTAAAAAATGGAGCTGAGCAACCTATCTAATGGTAAGGCAAAGTCCCTGGGATGCTTTGGAGATCCTTACCCTGCATTTCCAAAAATAATTGTTGTTAGTTAAAAGATTGGAAAGTGTGAATCCATTCAAGAGATGAACAACTGTTTGCTTCCCATGAACAGGAAAGCACCTGAAACAGTGTTTGGGACCAGTTCAAACCACCAAGGGTACATTGGTGGTTGGTGCTCCTAGAATTAAGCTGGTACTCCTTAAGGGTACCTCTACATAATCCTAGAATTAGGCTGGTACTCCTAGAATTAAAGTAGCTTCTTACTATTTTTAATGAGCCACCTTTTTCTCCTTTAGTGCTATTCCTGCATCTCTTAACATACCACCTTTTAATTATCACCTTATTTGAGCTAAAATTCTAAAGATCCCAGTTTACCTAAGTGTTACTTCTTCAGGCTGATGGATACTTATTTCGGGAAAAATGAATGAGGGCATTCATTGTTTTGTCCTGTTTTGCAGGAAGCGCAATGCTGATTGCCAGCTGGATGAATGTGGGAAGAAAGCCTTCCTAAGGTATCACAATCCTGTCAGAGACTGCTTTTTTGTTCCGTGAAGCTTAAAGCAGCATCCATTTCAGACAACATTTTCTACTGAATAGACAGTGCCAGATGCTCTCAGAACTTAGGGCTGTGCTCAAATAATCCAGTTAATTTTGTTCTCACAAAAGAACTGAAGGTTGTGCCCAGTTAATCCAAATAATTTTACCCCAAATGTTTAACTGGCCACAAAACCCTCCACCTTTGAAAACCAAATCCAAGTCAATGTAGATAGAATTTTCCCAGTACTCTGCAGCATACATGGCAATTCCAAAGTAAATTTTTATTAAGGCCTTATTTTAACTAGTTTAGAAAATCAAATGTCCTATAAAAGCAGAAAGAGTACAGACAACACCATATTTGTTAAGTAACAGCAGTCAAAATCAACTTCCTTCAAAACCCCCAGTCAGTTTTTTCCTTTAAAATTATGTTCCATGATTCAAGCTCTTGAGAATTTAAGTTCTTTGCTCCTGTGCCTGGCTTAGCCAGCTTAGTCAGGTCTTCCCAGCAGCTGGGAAGGATTGCACGTACATAGCTACCAGCTCATTTAGGACCAAATTGTGGTACAGTTATTTATGACGAGCAGGAACTTACACTCCTTGCATTAGTTTTAATAGGAGTTTACTAGGAGAAAATGCTGCAAAATTCTGGTGCTTAGTTGACAAATTGATATATTTACCAAATATCAAACAGGACTGGAGACTTCAAAATGCAACTCCAAAACAAAAGTTTCAGGTTTCATTGAAGTAGCCAAGAAGGTAACGTTTCCTGATCTCTTGAGAGGAATTCTCATCATTGTTTGCAACTTTAACTTTTTACCTAATAGTACCCCAGAAACTGTAAAATATCCCATTTTTAATGAACAGAAAAAAAGAGTCATGACAAGGGGATATCTGAAGACCAGCTTTCCTGTCAGCAGAGAAATACCTCTTCCTCCAGTAATGACTTCCTAACAATCTTTTCTCTCTATTTCTCTCATGTGTAAAAAGAGGAAGATAGACATAAAGAGAAACTTTTTACAGAAAGGTCATTTGACACAGGCTCCTCCATGACACATACCCTGGAGAACCTCCCTGGCAGTGAAACACAGGGAGGAAACAGGTGTAGGAATGAGCCACTCACACACTTCCCTAAACAGTGGCCACAAAATTCAGACACAACAGGCAAACCCCACTACTGCAGAAGCAATGTCTGTGTCAAAATGTCAGTTTACTGTTTGTGGTAGAATATTAATAGTGTGAGGAACCTTCCAATATATAAGATAATGGAAGGTGAAGCAGTATTTCTCCAGAAGAGAGATGACCAGAGGAAAAAACAAGTAAAAGCCTGCAGAGCCAAAGAATACCACTTGATAATTCTCAAAGTTGGTACTTAGTTGCTGTGTGCAAAGCGCTTCTCTGTCTAATGCAGAACATCTCTGATGTTATATATTTGATAGTTTTCACAAAGCCACGAAGCAATTACTCAGTTGTGTTCACCTGTAAATGACAGAATGCCTTAAGGATTTTTGATCTATTGTTTATTTCCCCAGCATTTATCAAAATGTCTTGCTTCAAGAATGGGTCTAAATAGTGACAAAAGCCAATCTACAAGTTTTTCTGCAGTTACTGATCCTTAGTTTTTCATTCCCATATCTCAAACGGAAGGGTTTCACTTCCACACATTTCATAAAAGTTGTAAGCAGTTTTTAAAAAATACTCACCTACCACTTTCTCTTTTGCTGTAGACTGAAACTTTGTGCAAGATGTTTTTTCTAGTTACTCTAATCACTCTATAGCATTTCTATTTTATAACCCCAGCTAATTTTTATTAGTGACAGTGTTTTCTTCTTGTCCAGCATGCTTCTTCAAGTATACCAATGCATAACCTTGACCTTTTATTTAAAATCAACCCCATCACCTACAGACAATAACTCCTAGAAAATCTAGGTTCTTTCCATATTTTGCTTTGCTGAGATCCTCTCAGGCACACACTGCCAGGTTTTAAAATCAGAAAGGATATGGAGTTTCTGCAGATTGTGGTTTCTAAGCCATAACAAATTAACTGACCAAATTGTGTAATATTCTCTGCATTACAGTATTCACTCCCTACACGACGATATTCATCACCCACCCTCTTCCTTCCTCCACAGACTCTCAGAAGATTCACACTACATCCATTTCCAGCACTCCTCTCAGATTCCCCAGGCAAATGCCAATCAAAGCTTCCTTTGTTGGCGATATGTACATTCCTCCATGAGCTATAAAGGGTAAGAATGTCCCAACTTTCTACAGGCTATCATAGGCACGTGCAAAATTATTGTCCCATAGTTTATCTTACTATACCCCAGAGAAATCTCATCCTGTTTTCTTTATATGGACTACAGATGTCTTAGCCAAGCTTCCTCACCACTGAGTCACCAACCGGGATTGTTTACATCTTCATAATGAGTCACCTTCACGATTTGGCTCACTTTCAATGCATGGGCTGACTTCATCTACTCTCTGTTTTGTCTCATTCTCCTTCATCTTGTCAATGTAGCTGTACCTGTTGGGAGTACAAGCACAAAATGGCTCCCTCCTACTTTTCCTTTTGCTTTCTTTATGCCACTTCATGTTGACTGATGTCACTTTCTATCTCTAGATTGACTGCTGTTCCAAAACTTTGACTTTCATGTCGTTCCAAGTTCCTGTGTCATAGGAAATACAATTCATATTTCTTTTTTTGCATCCAAGAATATCTGCTGACATGCAAAAGTGCCGCATCTTTGCTCAGATGTCAAAATACATTTGTACCTTTCATCCTCATTTATAAATAGGAATATTATTAATATTGCAAATATCTAGGATGCTTTAGAAGTCATATTGCCTTTTTCTATATGATATGTTCTCCCTTATTGGAATGTGTAAATGACTAGGAATTCTGTGGGCCTTAGAGCTTTCCTTTTTGCACTATCCACCACCTTGAAGGTTCATTTTGTGAATGTTCCGTATTTATTAATTCTTTCCTTTTCTAATCACTATGTTTAGTATGTCCACTCCTCAACTAACTCACCCTTAGATCTAAACTCCTTGCAATCAGTGGTTGGCTGAACTCCCAGAGTCAGACAGTATCATTTTCTGTTTTACCTTCAGGCTGTCATGTACTGCTTCAGAGCTATTGTAGTTATGTTTCCAAAACAGCAGAGTAATATTAATATTAATATTTTCATTATCTCATTATTTTCTAAATGTATATTGTAGATATGTTTTTATATTACTTCCTTTCCTTCAAAAGATTAAAAAAAAAGAAAAAGATTAAAGTGCTCGATAAGGTCCCTTTAAGAGTCTTTCACAATTCCTGTTTTTGTAAAGTTGCAGTGGCTTTGTTGCATAAAAAACCTTATGGCAACTAAATTGGGGTGAGAGGTAAAATACTGCCATGAATTAGAAACAGGCTATGAAACCAAAAGCAAGGTCAGAATTAATAATCAGTTTTCGAGGGAAAAGGTTACCAGGAAGGTGACCAGAATTGAACCCAGTTTGCTAGGTGGGGTAGAATGTAAAGATGTGAGTAAAAACATTATTGTGTTTAATTATTACTAACAATATAAATAAATCATACCTAGGTGTTTTGCAACTAGATCTGTGGAAATTACACACAAAATATCTCCTGTAAGTGTTAAGTCAGTAACTTCTAACATAAACCTGATTTTTATTTAAACCCACAACCTTTGTAGATAGAAGCATGCCCTTATCTTGTTTTTAAATAACAAAGTGGTTGTGTGGAGGGCCGCATATCTTTGAAGAGTTCCAAACCCTGTGTATACGAGACATAGCTATACTGAAAAGTGAATCTGTTATTTAATTCTTCAAATTTGTCTACTGATCTTAGCTACATTTTCTCAGGTATACAGAGTTTAACCAGACCCACCCACCCACCCAGAAAAAGGGTTTTGTGTCTTCCAGTACCAGTTCAGACTAATGGCCAGCCCTATGATCTTGTTTATTTTTAAATCAACCTAGATAAACAAATCTTTCCATTTGTCATTATCGTTTCTCTTTTTGTAATTAATCCTCTGAGAAGTTAGGAATTAAACAGCACTTACTCAGCCAAAATGGAAACTTCGTATAATAGTTTCTTTCATAAAGTGCAAATCAAATATAAATTCACATTTTTTGAATATGGAAATACTCATAGTGATGAAAGTTATACTTAGTACATGTGGAATGTGTGCTTCATTTTTTAAGTGTGGTTTGTTTTGTTTTTTTTTTAAACAATGATGCCAGTGAACTTCAAGATGATGAAGTTTAATGGGCCTTGGAGCCTGCTCAGATCTAGCTGCCTCAGTCCAAATGCTAATGTGAATTCAGAACTGTGAGCAGAGAAAGTCCAAGTCTGAAAGACTCGTTGCCCTGGTGGGAAATATTATTTATGCCAGTGACAGGAGCCACTGGCTGCTGTATGTGAGTGAAAGATTGAGAACATTGGCCCACATGAGGTGTATCTTGGTTGTAGACAGGATTCCACTATGAAACTTTCCTTGATATTATGACTGGCTTTAGATGAGGCCAAGAATAGATGAGGCAAGAGCGCTGTTTGCATTGTTTGAGCTGCCTTAGGTACTAATAAAGAGAGCAATAGGCATTATGCTGGATTCCAGAGGTGAAAAATGATCTAATAATTCTTTGTTTTCAGATGCTGGACCTCATCTTGATATTTTTCCTAGTGTGGTTCTCGGTAAGAGACCTGCACTTGTAGCCAGTTAGCTGTTTGTACACTGACACACACAACTGTAAAAGAAACCAGACTCATTATGAATGTGACAGAGCCAATATCCTAAATTCTGGAGGTTTTCTGTTAAACAACTGCCATTCAGTGAGGATCTTGACACACTCCTGCCTTAAAAGAAATGGAAACTTGCGAAACTTACTTACGCTGTTAATAACCAAACGACAGCAACAAAATTATATTCAGAGTAGGGAAAACACAATTTACTGTGGACTTGGCTCCTTTGACAGTATAGGACAAGATAGTCTCAGCCTTGCAGTTCAGCTGAGTGTCTCAGCCTTGCAGTTCAGCCGAGTGTTATGCTATCCATCAAAATCTGGGATCATACATGTCCAAATGTGGAACATCTGTATACTGTTGAGAGCCTCAGCATAATTTTTAATTAGAAGATGTGTTTTGAATGTTTTCTCACTTAATGTGCTAAATAAACCAGCAATTTTAAAAACACAAACCCCAAATTATTTATAGGCAAACCAATGAAATCTGCATTCCAAACCCACAACCAGCCCAGCATGAATGCTGACCTCACCTCTGCTACTACAACTAATAGGAAAACTGATGCACCACTTAGGCTAGGCATAATTAAGAAGATAAAAAGTTTGCCAATGGATGTTTCTATTTTTCGCAAGACATCTGCCACAGAGGAAAATGCCAATCTGGATTCTCTTCCTAGGCCCAGTAACAGAGTGTCGTCTCTAAGTAATGCACATGTTAGCATGAAGCCCGACACATAAAAATCGAGAGAGCATAAAAACGGAGCGATTAATGAGTAAAATTGAAATAAAGGGTCAGGCTCGAAATGGGGTATGAACAGTTTCACAAGAGATTGCTTTTGTTTACTATTCTGATTGATGTCCTGGTTCTAGAACATGGGAGACCCTGCAGATGGGGTCTGCAGGCAACACAGAAAGGCATACATCAATGTATAGGAAGACAAGGAAAACCTACCAAAAGAGCTGGCTATTTATGAACTGAAATGAAATGACATTCATTAGTGAAAGTAACAAAACATGCATTGAAGAGTAAGAAGGAAAACTCTCATTTGGAAAAGACTCAGCAGAGTCTGCTCTGGAACCACCAGATGACTGCAGGAGGCTACAAAAGCAATGCTTTGCTAAGGTAACAGTAGAGGAAGAGTATCAAATTCTTAGTGTCCAACTGTGCAACCTTCAGGAGACCACATCTACAATACTGGGTACAACTTATGTTTAAGGAAAACTAATTCATCACTAGCAGGTGTAGAGATGGTGCACCAGGCTTCCAGAGGAATTAATAATCCATCATGTGAGAAGAAGCTATGAAAATTTCTGCTTGTATAGCCTCACAAAATTAATTTGGGGTGGACAAATGAACATCAGGAAAGCAGAACAGTTATGCAAGCCAATAGACAGGGCTGGCAGGATAGTAAGTCAGAAAGCACTGGTCATAAATTACTTGCGGCTGGAAATTGAAAGATGGTGTCTAGCAATTACAGCAATAACTGTCCAATGGAAGAGGAAGATATGTTCCAAAGCACTGAGGCAAAAATCATAACTGTTCTTCAGAGAAAAACTTAATAAACTACAAAAATACGTGGTAGCTATGTTAAAGAACTTGAACAGATAACTCAAGAGTTCACTTCTATTCCAATGTTTCTGTCTCATAAATTTACCTGGAAGGATAAATGCCCAGCTGGACACAGTTCTTGGTTCTAGAGGCCCATTAAGGAGAAAAGCTATAGTACGAAAATAGCTTTTTTCATTGTGATAGTGTTGTGTAAATTAGATGTGAGAGCAAAAAAATAAATAGGCTGACCATAAAAATATGGGGCAAGTATGCAGCCTTGCACAACAAAGAATGCCACTTTACCATCCAACCCAGTTAAAAATCCATTACCTGTCAGTAGCTTTAACCTTGCAAAAGGAACTCTCATGTAAGGTGTTTAAATCTGAGGAACAAAACTCTCCTTAGGCTGTCTAAAATAGTGTTTGACTGGTCTGAAATGAAGGTGAACTCGAAGTTGGAGTCGTATTGGTATAACTGAAAAAGTATTGAATTCAACTTTTTGTTTTATACAATTTTGGGCTCCTTACATGTCTCCTAAGGCTCTTTGTAAGCTAACATTAGTTTTCTACTTAAATTCCTCTGACAAACAGGTTTCTCAGGTAATTTAATGTCATATAAATGAATATGGCTATAGTTAAGCAGGATCACAAAAAAGTGCTCTAAAAGTATTTTCATCCAAGTATATTTGATTCTTCATGGTGGGATATATTCAGGAAATGTCTTTGAAGAAAACAAACTGTAACAGCCATCATCTCTACTGAAGAGTATTGTTTAATCCAAAAAGATGCAGGAAAAATCAACCAGGATAAAATGATGTTTAAAACACATTGCATCAATGATAGAAACCATAACACAAGTCCACTTTCTTAACATTGTTAAAGAAGGGAAAAAAAGTCATTCCCATTCCATACGTTTTAGCATTTTCCTGTGCCTAATTAATTCATTAAATTTAAGAAACAGGTTCTGGCTGGAATTTCCATATTTTCATTTGAACTCCTGAAGAAATTCATCACAGAAGAGCCCTTAGATCTTACTTTGCTAAATTCAAGCAAAGTCAGGATTCCTTCAAAACCCACAATTCCTTTATAAGCAGTGGATTAAAAATATAAACAATGGCTTATTTCTGATCTTCTGCATTGTCCTACATGCTCAGATCATTCATTCATTCAAAAAATGCATGCTTAGTAACTATTTTAAAAGTGGATTAAATCCTTTGGCACATTATTACTGCA